TGAACTCAGGGCCTGGGCACTGTCCCTGAGCTTCTTTTGCTCAAGGCTAGCACTCTACCACTTGAGCCACAGCACCACTTCCGGCTTTTTTCTTCTTGCTTATGTGGTGCTGAGGAATCGAACCCAGGGCCTCATGCATGCAAGGCAAGCGCTCTACCACTGAGCCACTTTCCCAGCCCCTTGCCATTTTTTTTCACGTGGGTACAAGTACCCGGGTTTGAACTCAGGGTGCTGCCCCTGAGTTTTATTTTGCTCAACACAAACTAACGCTCTACCACTTCAATCACAACTCCACTTCCTGCTTTTTTTGGGGTGGTTGATTGATTGGAGATCAGAGTCTCCCAGACTTTCCTGCCCAGGTTGCTGGCTTTGAACCGCGATCCTCACATCTCAGCCTCCTGAGTAGCTGGGATGACAGGCGTGAGCCACGGGGGCCTCATACCACGTCCCCTGTTAAGTGCCAGAGCTTGAGCGGGCGGCCTCTGACTCCTTGGTGGGTCTTGTGTTATCAATTAGCATCCAGGCCCTGAGGCTGGGGGGGAGGGGGGCTGGCGTGGGACACCCTCCCCCTCCACTTTCCTCAGCCGGTGGGGTGGGAGGGAGGGCAGCAGAACGGGGGCCCTGGGTTCTGGGCCAGGCCGCAGCAGCTGGGAGGGTGACTCACCCTCTAGGGGTCAGCTGGCCTGGCACAGGACGGTGACCCATCCCTCCCCCACCCAACTCTGGTCTCAGCAGGATATTTTCAGAGCTTCAGTAATAGGTGAGGTCCCGTGTCCCCTCCCCACCCCAGCACCCTAAGAGCAAGGTGCCCTGGGGAGGGGGCCGGGGAACAGAGCAAGGGTAGGTGGGGGAGCCCCTCCCCCTCTCCCCCCAGGAGACAAGATGAGGGGTTTAAAGGGCCGTAGCCTGGGGACTCCAGCCTGGGGTCATTCCCTTTTAATCATTCCCCCCCCACACACACCTTGGTAGTTCTGGATTCTGAACTCAGGGTCTCCCACTCACTCGGCAGGTGCTCTACCACTTGAACCATGCCCCCATCCCAGCCTTGGGCTGGCCTGAAGGATTTTTGGTTTTTTTTTTTTTTCTGGTTTCTTAACCATGATTTTCTCCAAGGTCTCAGTCTCCCGAATAGCTAGGATTCCACGTTCGAGGCCCTATTTAATAAGTAAGGTTTTATTGCCACCCTCCCCTCAATATATACAATCGCGTCTCACCTTAGCAAGTGTGTGCATGCGTGTGTGTGTGTGTGCACGTGCGTGTGAGCGGGTACCCATGTGCGCTTGCATACACACATGTTGGTCCTGGGGCTTGAACTCAGGTCCTGGGTATTGCTGTCCCTTAGCTTTTTTGGTGCTTAAATGAATCTCATGGATTTGCCTGCCTGGGCTGGTTTTGAACTGGGATCCCCAGGTCTCAGCTTCCTGAGTTGCTAGGATGACGTGTGAGCCGCTCGCCTCTGACTACCCATAGCTAATTTTGTGCTGAAAGGACAAGTTAAGGGGTGGCCTAGAGAGAGTTTGGGGCTCACGTCCTCCCTGAACGGGGACCCATGGAGGACATTTTCCAGGCCCCGAGTCTGCTTCCTCCTCTGTTCAATGGAGCTGCTGTCCTCAGCTTGCTGCCTGTGTCTGGCCCAGGAAGGCCTTCCCTCTGAGCCTCAGTTTCCCTGTGTGTCTGGGTCCTAGTAAGCCCTTCCCCCTCCAACCTTAGTGTCTCCCCACACCTGAGCCTCAGTTTCCCCATCTGTCTGGGTTCCAGGATGTCCTCCTCCAGCCTATTTCCCACCATGTCCAGGCCCTTCCCCCCAGCCTCAATTCCCCAGGTGTCCGGGTCCCAGGAGTCCCTAGCCTCAGTTTCCCTGGGTGTCTGGGTCTCCCTGGGTGGTGTCCAAGTCCCAGGAGCCTGTCTCCCCGGGTGTGCGGGTCCCCTTGGGTGCGCGGGTCTCCTCGGGTGTGTGGGTCTCCCGGGAGGCCTCAGTCTCCCCGGGTGCGCGGGTCTCCAGGTGTCTGGGTCCCCAGCCTCAGTCTCCCCAGTCATCCGGGTCCCGGGAGGCCTCAGTCTCCCCTGGTGCGCGGGTCTTCCCGGGCGTGCGGGTCTCCAGGTGTCCGGGTCCTCCAGCCTCAGTCTCCTCAGGTGTCCAGGTTCCGGGAGGTCTGTTTCCCCGGGTCTCGGGTCCCCCAGCCCCAGTTCCCCGGGTGTCGGGTCCCCCTGGGTGGCGGGTCCCCCTGGGTGGCGGGTCCCCCGGGTCTCGGGTCCCCCAGCCCCAGTTCCCCGGGTGTCGGGTCCCCCTGGGTGTCGGGTCCCCCCATCTCGGGCCCCCCGCTCGGGCCCCCCGCTCGGGCCCCGCGCCCCGCTGACCGCCCCTCCGCCGCCCGCAGGATGAGTTCCACCCGTTCATCGAGGCGCTGCTGCCGCACGTGCGCGCCTTCGCCTACACCTGGTTCAACCTGCAGGCGCGCAAGCGCAAGTACTTCAAGAAGCACGAGAAGCGCATGTCGCGCGAGGAGGAGCGCGCCGTGAAGGACGAGCTGCTGGGCGAGAAGGCCGAGGTGAAGCAGAAGTGGGCCTCGCGGCTGCTGGCCAAGCTGCGCAAGGACATCCGGCCCGAGTGCCGCGAGGACTTCGTGCTGGCCGTCACCGGCAAGAAGGCGCCGGGCTGCGTGCTCTCCAACCCGGACCAGAAGGGCAAGATGCGGCGCATCGACTGCCTGCGCCAGGCCGACAAGGTGTGGCGGCTGGACCTGGTCATGGTCATCCTCTTCAAGGGCGTGCCGCTCGAGAGCACCGACGGCGAGCGCCTGGTGAAGGCGGCGCAGTGCGGGCACCCGGTGCTCTGCGTGCAGCCGCACCACATCGGCGTGGCCGTCAAGGAGCTCGACCTCTACCTGGCCTACTTCGTGCGCGAGCGAGGTGAGCGCCGCGCCTGCGCGGGGCGGGGAAGGGGCGGGGCCGGCCGGCGGAGGGGCGGGGAAGGGGCGGGGCCGGCCGGCGGAGGGAAGGGGACGACTGAGGGGAAAGGCAGGGGTGGGAATGCCAATCAGAGGCAGAGGTACCAGTCCGAGGGAAGAGGCGGGGGTTGGAAATGCCGATCTGAGGGGAGAGACAGAGGTGGAAATGCCAGTCTGAGCGGGAAGTCGGAGATGGAAATGCCGAACTGAGGAGAGAGGCAGGAGTGCCGCTCTGAGGCGGGGGAAAGCCCATGTGCCAGTCCAAGGTGGATGTGCAAGTCCAAGGGAGGCGGCAGAGCCTCGTGTGCAAGTCTGAGGGGCAAGCTTCGTGCTTTGAGTAGGAGAGAGGAGACAGGCTGATGTGCAGGTCTGAGGTGAGAGGCAAGGCGGATGAGGTGAGAATCCGAGGAGCCAGGCGGTGTGCCAGGCCCGGGGAGGTGGTTAGGTGCGGTGTGCCAGTCTGAGGGGGGAGGTGAAGGGCTGGGCAAACCCAGCGGGGGAAGTGGAGGTGCAGGTCTGAGGGGGGAGGCAGGATGTCACCTCCCCGGCTGAGGGCTCCAAGATTGTGGCCCCGGTGACAAGACATGATGTCGTGAGGGCACAGTGAGAGGAGGTAGATCCTGGCAGGCTCTCACTGGGCATGCGTGGCGCTCTGTCCAGTGGCCATCGTGGTCCTCCACGCTGCCTTCTATGGGCAGCTCTAGGTCCAGATGCCCCACACTGTGTGGCCAGGGGGCTGTGGCGGCTCCATAGAGGAGGAGGAGGAGGCAGCAGGCCCGGCCCTGGGGGATGGATGGTGGACAAAGCCCACAGCGGATGGGGCAGGGGAAAAAAGCTGTCTCCCAGCTAACAAATTGAGGTTCTTGGAGGTCCTGCAGCTAGACTGGGCTGCAAGGAACCCCCCAGGATTGTGTGTGTGGCTGGTCGCGTGTGGCCTGTGACGTGGAGAGGTTACAGCACCGTCTCTGTGGGACTGGGGGAGACATATATCCCAGCCCAGCCCGCACTGGCTGCACCCCAGCTGTGGGAAGCCCAGGAGAACCTGGCATTGGGCACCCAGGACAAACGTAAGAGAAGCTGGAGGTTGACCAAGCAGGGTCGTGTCCACCTGTAATCTCAGCACTGGCGTGGTCGAGGCAGGCAGAGAGCGAGTTTCGGGCTAGCCTGGGCCGCAGAGTAGACCCTATGTCAAATAAAATCAAAAATGAAGAGGAGGATTGGGGCCACACACCCGGTGGCTCCCGCCTGTCATCCCAGCTCCTCAGGAGGCTGAGATCTGAGGATTGAGGTTCAAAGCCAGCCCAGCAGGGGGAAAAGTCTGTGAGACTCTTATCTTCCAGCACCCAAAAGCTGGAAGTGGTGTTGTGGCCTAAAGTGGTAGAACGCCAGCCTTCAGCGAAAAAGCTCAGGGACAGCGCCGGGGCCTGTTTTCCCTTTAGTACAATAGCTACCGGCTAGTGCTGGCATGAAGTTCAGCCCCCAAGGGTAGAATAACCCAACTGTGACCTTCACTCCTGACCTTGACTCAGCACCAGGGAACAGCAAAGTCCCAGGGCTGCCCATGGAGGAGGGCAGAGAGGTGGACCATATAGCCACGCATGGTGGGCGGGGATGGCCTCTGGGTGGGTGGGGGGATGAGGACCCCATCCCCATAAAGAACCCGTCCTTCCTCCCCACCCCCCTGCCCCCACCCCAGCTGATTCAATTCTGAAGCCAATTTTCTGTAGACTCAGCACCTCCATCTCCAAAGCCACTCTCCCCCTGCCCATCCCTTCTTCCCTCCCCCTCCCCTGCCCTCAGCTCCCCCCCCCACTCCAACGCCCCTCTGCCCAACACCTGGGCGGCATTCTAGCCACTGGCTTCGCTGCTCCCTGGCTGGGTGACCTAGGTCAAGTCATTTGCCCCACCGTAGCTGTGTGAGGACCCAATAAAACAGGGAGCCCAGCCTGGCGCCGGTGGCTCACACCCGTCATCCTAGCCACTCATGAGGCTGAGATCTGAGGATTGTAGTTTGAAGCCAACCTGGGCAGGAAAGCCCACGAGACTCTTTATCTCCAATGAACCACCGGAAAACCGGAAGTGGCGCTGTGGCTCAAGCGGCAGAGCGCTCATCTTGAGCTGAAGAGCTGAGGGACAACGCCCAGGCCCAGAGTTCAAGCCTCACAACCTGCCACAGCCACCACCATCAGTATTGCCCTCCATTCCCCACCCACAAGTCCTTGCTCCGGCCGTAAGCTCAACCTAGAATGGCTTTCTCCTATGGAAAACCCCTACTTGTATTTCAAAACCCCAGGTCTTAGCTCTACTACCTCTCTGCCAGGCCCTTTTTTCTGACTTAGCACATTTTTTTTCCTCCTTGTTTTTCTTCTTGAGACTGGGGGGTCTCACCAGATGACGGAGATTGAACTTTAGACCCTCCTGCCTTAGAAGTGTCCGTCTCCGGCACCAGTGCCCCTCCCCACCTCTCCCGCTGGTGGCAGAAGAGATCAGAGATACATTACAGACCGGGTTCCCCAGGTTGCCTTCTGGTCCCCCAAGCTGAGACCAAACCCTACGCTGGGAGCCAGAGCTCCCCTTCTTGGGTTTATTTTCAAGGACGGAGGGGGTGGGGACAGAGGCCCAGGGACAGAGGCCAGGGTGTCTCCTGGGGCGGAACATGGCTGCCCGGGCTTCCAGCCGGTGCCCCGCGGGCCTTGGGGGATGGCCGCCCGGCACGTGGCGTGTGCCCAGGGCAGCCGGGCCCGGCGTGGAGCGCGGGTGAGGCGCCCCTGGGGGCTGATGTTGCCTCCAGTCCAGCTGGTGCAGTCTGGGAGTGGAGAATCCAAGCCCTGAATTGCTGTTTTGTGGTTATGGTTCCGGTCCTGGAGTTTGAACTCGGAACCTGGGCGACGTCCCTGAGCTTGTGCGCGCAAGGCTGCTGCTTTCTCCCGCCCCTGGCACAGCGCCACTTCCAGCCTTTCTGTGGTTCACTTTTGGTGGTTGTGTTGGTCGTGAGGCTGAACTCTGGGCCTGGGCGCTGTCCCTCAGCTCTTCAGCTCAAGGCGAGCGCTCTACCACTTGAGCCACAGCACCACTTCTGCCTTTTTCTGCTTATGTGGTGCTGAGGAATGGAGCGCAGGGCCTCATGCATGCGAGGCAAGCGCTCTACCACTGAGCCAACTTCCCAGCCCTTGTGGTTCACTTTTGTAGTTCAAGAGTCTCCAGGAATTTCTGGTCCTGCCTGGCATTGAACCCATGATCCTCAAATCTCAGCCTCCCGAGTAGCTAGATTGACAGTCAGCAACACGCTAAGAGGAAGGGAACAGCAGAAAACAGCAACAAGACAGGGACATAAGGGGTAGAGCGGCTTTCCTGGAGAGATGAGTTTGGGAGATGAGGCCTGAGGGCAGCAGGAAGCCAGCCATGTGAGGGAGGGAGGGAGAGACAGAGAGAGAGAGAAAGAGAGAGAGAGAGAGATTGGAGGAGAGGGTACAGCTGGACCTGGTAGCTCACTCCTGTAATCCCTGCCAGGAAGATTGCAAGTTTCAGGCTACATAGGAAGACTCGGTCTTCACAAGCCAAGGAATGAGAGAGAGAGAGAGAGGTAGCCAGGCAGAGGGGAGGGGAGGCCGGCTGCCCGCCCGGGGCCTCCGCCCAGCCGGGCCTCCCGCCCCCCTGGCAGCCAGCGAAATCCGAAGCGCGGGCGGGCGCCGTGCCAGGGGGGGAGGGGTGCCAGGCCCGCCCGCGCCGGCTGCCAGCCCAGATGGTGACCATTTGCTGACGCTGCCATGGGCCAGCTCTCCCTTCTTCCCGCCTCGCCCGGTGCCAACTTAACCCAGCCGTGGGCAAGGCGCCCTGGGTGGGGCCGCCCTGGGTGGGAAGGGGGTGCCGCGGAGAGAGGGTAGTGGGAGACACTTAGGGCTCCCCTCCCCACGCCTCTCCTGGATGGCCCTGGGGAGAATTCATATGCACAATGCCTCCATGTGCCAGCCTCTGAACACGTGCCCATCTTTGTTTGGCTGGGCTGGCGATGGCTTCCAGGTTTTGACGCGTGCGCAGAATGTCCAAATGCACTGTCCCTCCTCTCAACCGGCTCCAATCTCTCGGTTCAGAGAAGGCATCAGAGGCCCAGAGAGGGTCAGCCACTTACCCTGGAGTCACACAGCTCCTAAGAGGCAGAGCTGGAGCCAGAGCCCAGGGTGGAAAGCCAGGAGCCCTGAGGCTCACCTCAGTAATCCCCGGAGGCTGAGATCTGAGGATCACACTTCAATACCAGCCTAGGCAGGAAAAGTCTGTGAGGCTCTTATCTCCAATGAATCCCCCCCACCCCCACACAAAAGCTGGAAGTGGAGCTGTGGCTCAAGTAGTAGAACCCCAGTCTTTAGTGAAAAAGCTAAGGGACAATGCCCAGGCCTTGAGTTCAAGCCCCAAATACCAGTGTAGACGAGGGGGGGAGTGGGGGAGGAAGACAGAGAGACAAGGGAAAGGAGGGGAAGGGAGACAAGAAGGAAAAGAGTGACAGATCCAGCCTGGCTCGAGCCTGTCATCCTAGCTCCTCAGGAGGCTGAGATCTGAGGGTCTCCGTTCAAAGCCAATTCCAGAAGAAAAGTCCTGTGAGATTCTTTTTTTTTGGTAGGTCGTGGGGCTTGAACTCTGGGCCTGGGCGCTGTCCCTGCGCTCTTCAGCTCTACCCCTTGAGCCACAGCGCCACTCCCGGTTTTCTCATGGTTTATTGGAGATAAGAGTTTCAGGGACGGCTGGGAAGGTGGCTCAGTGGTAGAGCGCTTGCCTTGCATGCATGAGGCCCTGGGTTCGGTTCCTCAGCACCACATATGCAAAAAGAAAAAAAAGCCGGAAGTGGCACTGTGGCTCAAGTGGTAGAGAGCTCGCCTTGAGCTGAAGAGCTGAGGGACAGCGCCCAGGCGCAGAGTTCAGGCCCCACAACCGGACC